TTGTTCTGTCTTTCTGTCATTTCTTTGATTGCCCACACCTGTCTGTGATTTTCCCCATGATTAGGCAACATAGGCTCATTCTGAAAACATACATACGTACTTAAAATCAATGCTGAAGTAATTAACCTAAATTCTGCAAACTATCATTACCGCAACCAATGTTTACTAAGTGTAATTTTATTTTTATTGTTTGCTTTTTAACGCATTTGCATAATGTACAAATGATGTCCTTTCAGGTTAGCCACATCATTAAAAAAAAAAATAAAAAAAAACATCAGGTTTTATCAAAATAAATAAATAAAAGTGTTGTCAGATGTGTAAGGTGTGTCGGTGTTGATAATAAACAGTTATAATAAAAAAATATTTAATATAAAAATAAATGCTATTTCAGAATCTCAAGTAACTGTACCTGACTGTTAATAATCCTTTAAAAAAAAAAAAAAAGGTAAATTTGCTTTTTTAACAGAGTCAATTTTGCAGACTGTTGCGATAATCAGATTTTTTTATTACTTATTTTGGAAATTATGCTTATAAAAGTACTAAATCAGATGTCTAAATATTTGAATTAATGTTGACACATGCTCCAGACTTCGTTTCAATTATCTGTAAAAAACAAAAGTTTGCTTTTTAAAAAACTATGCTTTTTAACTATGTTTTTGTGACAATCACCCATGTATTGAAAACCTCCAGACTGAGCTTGATTAATTAATGTAACGGCTGAACCGTGACAGCTTATGCAGAGAACTTATGCAGAGAAAGTGTGTCAGTATGCATGAGGCTATCTGCATGTATCCAAAGACTATAGAATACACAATGCAATGCAGTGGCACAGTAGGTAGTGCTGTAGCCTCACAGCAAGAAGGTCACTGGTTCAAGCCTCGACTGGGTCAGTTGGCGTTTCTGTGTGGAGTTTGCATGTTCTCCCTGCATTCGCGTGGGTTTCCTCCAGGAGCTCTGGTTTCCCCCCACAAGTCCAAAGACATGCAGTACAGGTGAATTGGGTAGGCTAAAATGTCGGTAGTGAATGAGTTTGTATGGATGTTTCCCAGAGATTGCGGCTGGAAGGGCATCCGCTGCATAAAACACTTGCTGGATAAGTTGGCATTTCTTTCCGCTGTGGCGACTCCGGATTAATAAAGGGACAGAGCTGAAAAGAAAATTAATTAATTAATAAATGTTACTTGTATAGTTTTTAATAAAGAAAAGTGCAACTGTCAATATGGCAAATGAAGCCCTAACTTGTGGTACAGGAGCCAACCATCGATCGATATAGAATGATAATTCTACTGGGGAGGGGCTCAAAGCGGAAGTGTGATTTATGACAGTTTCTGCACTATTCATGAACCCTCTGGTGTCAGCAAAATTGGAATCTTACTTTCCTCACAAGACAAGAGATACACATAAAGCTTGAAATATCTATTTTTAAACTAACCAATTACACTTGAAAACAAATGTTCTCTAGTTTTGTAATTTGTATGAAACAAACGCAAGGTACAGTCAGTCCCATCAAAAGCATGTCATATAATAGCAACTACTGGAACGCCCACAAACTTGTAAACGAAAATGATTGCTGTCATTTTGGAAAGAGATCTTCCATCAAGACCAAGTCGAGAATTACTTTAGAAGACCAGCGATATCGGAGTCTACATGATTCAGAGGATGATAATGTTGAGGTGACATGGTGGATCAATGGTTAGCACTGTCACCTCACAGCAAGAAGGTTGTTGGTTCGAGCCCTGGCTGTGTCAGTTGGCGTTTCTGTGTGAAGTTTTGGCTGGGGACTGGGGTACGGTTCGCGGGAACTCTGATCCGGTTCACTTCTGATATGAATGCAATCGTATAAAATAATGGAAGTGAACTGTACAACAACAAATTTTAGTTTTCATAACGTCCGTTCGTGTGTGTGTGTATGTCTGTGTATCACCTAATGTTACCTTAGTGACAAGCAGGACTGACCCAGACCAGACACAGTGATAATGTCTGCTTGTCTCCTCCAAAAACTAATTCTACAGACCTCACATTAAGTTCCGAACATTTTTTATATTTTTGCAGCAGATAGACACAAGTCGCTCTCTGTATGATAGCAAAACCAAAAGAATCAGTCAAAGTAGAATGATTGTAATATGAGTACGTCTTTCTGTTTTGGCGCTTTTTCTTTCGTGGTCGTCACAGCTGTACACACAACAGCAGCTCAATGATACAAGCGTACCGGGATTTATAAGAAAAAAAAGATGTGAACACAAACCAGCTGAAAAGGTGGCAAGGGGGACAATCGAATTTGGGTTTGGACCATGCAATTAAATCAAGTGATCACATTGAAAGCGTTTTTTGCAATGAGAGGCAGCTTTTTTTAATGATTTACTAATGGCCACAATCGTTGTGTGCACTGCGTATGAGCCCTGTGCACCTCGCATTTTTACCGCCTGCTGCGCCTCGCTTGTGTGCCATGCGCTCACAGTTAAAAAAACTAAACTCTGAGCAGATAAAGTGCATTATGTAAGCCGTGAGTCTTTTTCATTCTCTAATTAAATGAAAGCAGAGGCGGGTTTTTAATTGAGGTGCCTGCAGTATTTGTGTCAAGACAACTACGGAAACTTTGAAGATGGAGGAGAGACTTTTGGTTGCTGTTTTGAGTTATCCGAGGCTATATGAATCACAAATCTTGAATCTCACAATATTATTAAATTTTAAAAATTATAATAATATCAAATTTTAATTATTTTAATATTTATTAACATAAAACGCGCACCACACTTCTTTTGTTCTTGTCAACCAATAAGGCAGTAATTTGCGCCTCGCTTTTTTGAAACGTAAAAGGGCATTCGGTGTAATCAACCCCTTATTCTCGTTCCCTTCAATTACACATGCGCAATAGATTGTGCGCCTGAAATGCAGATTTTGTGTGATTCGAAATTGATGATTTAAAATTGTAATTTAAGAGACAGCTTTTGTTTAATTTTATTACTGATTCCTAATATGAAATTTATTTGTAAGCTTGGCAAACAGTTTTAGATCATTTGAATTTAAACAGAATGCCTGAGCAAATTGCCCACAAATGGCAAAGCATTTTTTATGTATTTTGGTTACTCATTTACACAACAATCGCATTTCCGCAGATTGAAAATGCAACTTTTTTGAAAATTGTAAAATTCAAAACTAGTAAGAATACAAAAATGTGACTGGAGATTATTAAAAAAAGTGAATGGTGAACATCAGAAGTATATCTTTTTTAGACATTTTTTTTAATCACAAAGTTCTGGTTTGACATGCTGTAATTCATTTTCAACAAAGTCCATGTGAACGGAGATTGTTTTGACAATGATGTTCATAAAACATATTTTGCTGTAGTTTAAACATTTCCTAAATAAAACATGTTAGAGTTACATCAATGCAAAAGCAGAGCATATGTGTCTATATGTATGATGTATGTAATATTTATTTGCTTGTTTCCAATATGAAAATGAAAAGAAATCAATACATTGCTTAAAAATAAAATTATAATATATATATTTTAAAATATAATAATATTATAAAAACCAAGTGAAAATTTATTGTGGCAAAAAGCAAAATAATATCCCATCCCTGCTTTCTATATTGTCCAAGAGGCGTTTCAAAGAGGGTCGAGATAAATTAATACATGAGATGTAGATGTTTGTAGATGTAGATGCATGAGATGTTTAATCTCAGCTTGCATACAACAAAAACCTAACATTACTGAAAGAAGTTGACCCCCTTGCTAGACAATGCATAATCCATGCCCCCCTGGTCATTCATCAGTTTTAAGGATGTTGACAAGTGTCAGCATGTTTAGAATCTCAGCACAGATTTCACTTTATATGAAATGTAAATGGGATGTAATGGGATGTTTATACTCCTGCAGAAAAAAAAGAGAGATTACCTCATCATTTAAACTGCTTCTCTCATTGCTCTTTGGCTGAAAATTACAATCGCATACAATGTGGTATTGTATACTGTTTTATTAACTAACTATTTTGTATTCAGAGGTGTGTGCAGCATTCTTAATTGCGTGTAACAAATATCATTATATGAATGTCCTCTTAGCTGTCCTATAGCTCCCAGTGTGTAATGCATTCCCCCCTCCGGACTTGCACACAGCACTTTTCAGCATCTCGGATTATTGGGGGTTCTCCCTGCATTGTTAAGGAGTTCAGATAAACAGTATCAGTTACTGTTAATTATTTCCTTATACTGTAAAAGCAAGCATTTTTATGTAGTAAAATGTGAATAATGAAATAATGATTGATTTCAAACATTGTCCCCTGACCAGATGCTTCAGATATAGACAGCATTTGATCGGCTGAAAGATTTGATGAAAAGCTGAGGTGCACAGTGATGTAAAATAATAATAATAATAATAATAATAATAATAATAATAATAATAATAATAATAATGTTGTAATTGAAAAACTGGAGGTTTTTAACACTTATATTCTAAATGTGAATCTTTGTTTTAGAGTTCACTAGCTTATAATCATAAAACTAAAATATAACAGGCAAAAAATAAATAAATAAATTAAGCTTTCATTTTAATTTCAAGGAGTCTTAAGTTTTCTCCTGATCAACATACTACAAGATTTGCTGCCAAGATTACAATATGTCCATGAATTATGCATACCGAACATACTGAGTAGGCTAGATAGGGTAAGTACAGTAGGCTAGTCAACATTGGCTCATAAAACCTTGCATTATTATTATTTATCCTTATAATTATTATAATTTAATTATAAATTATTATTATAAGTATATTTGTTTAAATGTTCTAAAAGCAAAATGTTTATAAACGTGTAAAATGTACTTTAATATTTCTACAAAAGGATGTAGGCTGTAGATATTATTCCATTCATTATATTATTTGCTTATTATTAATACGATGACAATAGTGTTTTGATCCACTTCAAATGTTGACTGTACTCACGCTATGATTCATCCTCTCCTCATTGATATTCATATTTGTGTCAAGCAACAACACTAAGCATCGTGTCATTAAGCATGACATAATCGCGGTAGTTTCTAATGCTTAGACCAGCATTCAGTGTGGCACGGCAGCACTGCTTTGAACGCCCTGTGACGAAATTTAATGATTGTTTATTTGCTCAGGCAATAGGAATTTGACTGAGAGCCAATAAGCGAAGGTCTTGCGTGATCTTAGCAGGAAGCAGCACTGGATTGACTTGACTGAGGGCTCGATCATATTTTCACTGCGCCGAAACTGAACGAGTGGGCTGTTTGTTTTTGGGCGTTGAACACGTGGGAGAATCGTGTATATAAAGAGTGGATGTAATGAAGTGGCGATTATTAAACCACCAGTTATGGAGAAGGCAAACGAACAAGCAGACATGCTTTTTATAGAGTCTGAGCCGGAGAACCGCCTGCGGTTACAGTACCGCTCACTGCGGCGACAAGTGTTGTTCATCCAGACCTTCAGCGTGCTATTCTGCGTCACTTGCTGCACCTTCACGCTTATGTATCACGCAAACGCGTCCAGCTGCAAGGTAAGGCTTACGTTCAACCTCAAACATTCTTGCTGACAGGCGAATAATTTATGTAATAGTATTTGTCATCTAATATACTATCTATCTATCTATCTATCTATCTATCTATCTATCTATCTATCTATCTATCTATCTATCTATCTATCTATCTATCTATCTATCTATCTATCTATCTAATGTATATAGACTACTATGTATATATACTGTATATAATCTGCATGTAGCACAACCTTATTTATACACTTCACAAAATCAACTTGACTTATTTTCCACTGGTCTTTCTGAGCTCAATAACTCATTCTTTATTAACTTTATTAACTCATCATTTAGTGAAATCTTGCATCGCTCACACTTGATTAAGTGCATAATGCATATTATTTTTTACTAGTAATAAATATAATACATATTTGACTATTGTATCTTCAAAATCAAAAGTGATTTTATTTGCATAAATGTGTTAACATGTTAATTTAATAATGTTTCATCATCATTCAGCATGACAGATGTGTTTATATGTACATATACCTGTTGACTCTACTTATTAAATGTGACCATAGACCACAAAAGCAGTCTTATGTTGCACAGAAATATGTTAGGCAGTAGGCAAAACACATAGTAAAATACATTTCCAAAAATCAATAGATAAGTAAAGATCATGTTCAATGAAGATATTAAAAAAGCCTGCTGTGTATATATTAAAGCAAATTTAATTAATTATGAAAAAGGCAAAAACATGCTGCATAAATATCTTTAATGTAAAGTTGATTTAAATAATAATTATTAATTAATGCTAATGATTACTGGTGTAGTGTCACTATTAGTAAGAAAGAAGTAGCTTTAACAGTACAATGACATGATGTCATATAGACATGAACTAGTAAAATTAGGACAGGTGCTAGAAACAAATGTAGCAAAACATGGTAAGAAATGTGTTACAAGTAACAACAGAATATGATAATTACTAAAAGCAAAGAAATAAATACCATAGTATCCTATGAAGATGTATTAATGTATACTACATATTACACGTTTTGATAACTTGTAAAACGTGTAGTGCACAACTATGCCTGAAATTAGTCTTTAAATGAAATCATTTGGAATCCATTGTGTGTGAATTTTGCTGATTTAAGGTTTCTCACTTTTTAACAGGACAATATCGCTGAAGAGCCACCTAGAACTGGTAAGTTCACTGATTGCCATTGAAGCTAAACTGATCTGAATCTAGAATCTTTCGTGGTGTTATACAGTGCATTTTAAATATGACTTCTTTAGAACAAATTCTTGGTATCTTACTAATAAAAATCTGAATTATTTTTATTGATATAGAGATGCAGCGTATTGAATCTAATCGAAGAGACACAACTTTCATTCATCTCAAAGGTAAGATGTGCACTAAGAAGCAATTTACAAGAGAAGCAGAAAGCATAATCCCTATAAAAAAAAAAACTAACGGAAAAGCAAGGAAGAGTTGCTTTAAATAGCCCTTGATTACATTTTGAAAATTAACTATTTAGCTTTTTTAAAGGGATAATTGAGTGTTTCATAAGATATATATCACAGGTGAAAAAAAACATTGTGAACCAGATCTTTGACAATAGCATGCAATTTTCATTTTCAAAGATTTCATGACACTATTGAAGTGGTTTCTCTGATTTTTGGTCTTGTTAATTTCACTGAATTGCATCTTAACCATCCGTCAGCAGAGTATTAGCAGAGCAGCTGCTTAATATTTAATAGCACCATAATTAAATGTTATAAATCCATTTAATCAGTTAAGACTAACCATAACTTTATTGTATAAAATTGTGCTCTTATTCATAGGGGAACAACTTTAAGTGCTACATTAGCACCTGCATCTACAAAAAGAACCACTAAAGAACCATTACTGATGCTATATGTGACCCTGGACCACAAAACTAGTTTATGTTGAAAGGTTGTGTTGTTGGCAATAGACAAAAATACATTGAATGGTATAAAATTTTATGCCAAAAATCATTTCAATATTAAGTAAATTAATATTAAGTTCATGTTGTAACTATAACAAAATTTCAAATTACCACATTTTTGATTAGCAATGTGCATTGCTGAGAACTTACTGTACTATGGACTAATTTAAAGGCAATTTTCACTGTATTTTTATTAGTTTGAACCCTCAGACTCCAGATAGGTGCATCTCAGAACAAATATAGTTCTATACGAACAAACTATACATAATTGTAAAGCTTATTTATTTAGTATTCAGATAATGAATAAATCTCAATGACATTTATGACTGGTTTTGTGATCCATGGTCACATATACTGTAGCACTTACAGTGGTTCCCCTATGATTTTGAGCCAAAGAACCACTTAGCACCTGAGCTACTACAAAGAACTGTGAGACACACTGTGAAAATTTCCTTGCTCGGTTAAACATAATTTTGGGAATATTTAAAAAAGGAAAACTATTTCAGTTGTTTGGGCTAACAATTCTGACTTCAACTGTATATTGACACATTTCTCTTCTTTCTAGTCAAACACAACATACTTGCCGTTAAGACTAGAGATGTGCCATGGACCAAGTATTCAACACAAGATCTTCCAGATTATAGTGGATACTTCGCTTTGTCTGAAGATGGTACATCTCTGGAAGTCAAACGTTCGGGAACATACAAAGTTTCTCTACAGATTACGTACAGAGGACTTGATAACTACATCAAAGAAACCACTCTGCAGCAGGATATTAAAACCTATTCTCACGGCTATGAAGCACCCATTTTTCTGCTTACTTCAATGGAAACATTGAACTTTACATCCCCATACTGGAAAAAGAGTATTTTCTCTGAAGGTATTTTTTCTCTTGAAGCTGGGGATAAACTCAGCGTAGAGTCCAACAATCTACCCCTCATTGACCGTTTTCACCAAACAACTTTCTTTGTGGTTTATCCACATTTTTCATCATGGTGAAAATTGAAGTAATGATGTACTATATTCATATGTCTGAGATTAGTTTGTGATTCAGTCATTTGGATCTCGGATATGTTGTATGGAAGAAAAAATATACAGGTCATGGTGTCATGGTAAAACTGGGGTAATTTGAAATATACCGGCACTGTTGTGTTTTGACAAGCTACTTTAATTAACTTTTACTAAAACCATAGTACCTGTTGTTGTTGTTGTTTTTTTTTTTAATGACAGGATTGTTGCTTTACAGATCGAATCAGGCATTGACTTGCATTTTTAAAAACTAAGTTTGAAAGCAAGGCAATTGTGGAGGAATTGTAATTTTATTGTATTTATAGTGAATGATGTCTGTTGAAGTGCATAAACAAATGTAAACATTTTCTAAAAGCTTAGGGTTTGAGGTACTTATTCAAAGGTTCAAGAAAAGAACATGGATTGATGAGAATGACCCATATCTCTACACTATCCCTGTATTTACTTATTTAGTGACTCCCTGCTCTGTTGTGTTTTTATGGTGCTTCTTGGGTGCTGTCATAGGAATTAGATGACTATAAATTACTTTTGGGTTGGCAATTTACAGAAATCAACAAGTATCGTTTTGTAGGGACTCACATGAAGGATCATCTAATGTACATATTCAAAGTTGCTTATTTATTTGGACAAAAGTCATCAATAAATACTTCTACATAAAAGCTGTTGCCTAGTAATTTTTATTTATTAATCACACACACACACACACACACACACACACACACACACACACACACACACACACACACACACATTTCTTACGACAATTGATTTATGCAGTACTGGAAAGTGTCTGTATCCCAAGTTACAGTATCCCAAGGCCCAAGTTGTTTTTTACATGCATTTTTTGTTTCTCTTTGCTATTTGGGCTCATCAGAACCTAATTAGAATAAGAATAGAAGTATCATCTTTTGATATGATGTACTTTTAGAGAAAAACAATGTCCATATATGTGGACTCGTGGTCCGAATTCACATAAAACACTTTTTTCCTGAATGTTTTTAATGCATTTATATCATAGACATTTTTTTTAATCTTGCTTTGACTATCAGAGAGTAAAAACATTTTTTCCCCATTTTGGAAAATAGGGTTTGGGACATTTCATATGCTGCAAAACAGTCACAGGATGACAATGTATATCTGTAACAAAAAATGAAACATTCAAACTTAAAACATTCCACTTAAGAGCTCAAATGTGCACGTATGTGGACACTCAAGGCCTAGAAGTATTTAGGATCATACATTAGTTTTTCTTCAGCTTAGTCCCTTATTTATCTGAGGTCGCCTCAGCAGAATGAACCACTAACTATTCCGGCATATGTTTTATGCCCTTCCAACCACAACCTAGTACTGGGAAACACCCATACACTCTAGCAATTACAAATGCATTCATGCATTAAGGCCAGTTTAGTTTGTCCAATTCACTTAAAGCACATGTCTTTGGACTGTGGGGGAAACCGGAGCACCCAGATAAAACTCACACAATAAGAACATGCAAACTCCACGCAAAAATGCCAACTGGCCTTCTTGCTGTGAGGTGATAGTGCTAACCTTTGAGCCTCTATGCCACCCCTCTATATAAGATCATAAAAGAGAAATCTCATTTTGGTGACTGTGAGAAAGTTATAACATGAGTTCTAAATACAAGTAAAGGGCATAGCTAAAGTGAAGTTTCACAAACTAATTTCGAGAGGAGCACATGATATTATTGACCGCAGCTGGTCTCTCATCTACATTCATTGGTTAGCCAATCAGATTAATCCAAACTCACTATAAGTAGCCTAGCAAAAAAATTACTCCTTTATCTTCGTTTTCCGAAGAAATCCCCCATCTACCCATTCTCCCTCTTTCTTCCTTTACCACGGGGAGCTCTCGAGAACCACCAGGGGCCTCATGTACGAAGACTTGCGTGGAAATCTTACTAAAACATTGCATACGCACAAAGCTGTAAATGTGCGTACGCAGAAAAAAATTCAGATGTATGAAACACTGCGTACGCCGAATCTCACGCATATTCTTTTGTACATCCGAATGAACGTGAAACTGAGCGCAACATGCACGAGCACAAAACCCCTCCCTGCCTCCTCCCCCGTATGAATATGCTAATGACTATGCTAATGGCAAAACCCAACGAAAAAGCAATGGCAAAATCAAGCAAAAAGAGAAACTTTGAACAGAATGTGAATTGGAGGTGCTGCTTTCGGAGGTAGACCGGAGAAAAGCGGTGTTATTTGCAAGTTTGTTCTCCGGAATTAACAACAAAAGAAAAAAAATAGAGTGGGAGAGTTTAGCTGATGCGGTTAACACAGTTGGGTCTGAACATCGCACTGAGTGCATTAAAAAAATAGTGTGGTTTATATCTGTAAAATGTTGCGGTACCCTTAGCAGTCTCAGTGGCGCACCTCGTAAGACGCATGTGATCATGTAATGACACGATTGAGCATAGACTCGGCTCGAATCCAGCGTCTGATGAACTCTTTCTTCTTTTTTCCCCCGCTACATATTCGATTTTGCCCACTATTTATCACGAGAAAGACACGTAGGAATCATCAATAAGTTTGTGCATCATATTTTATTTGCACATTTATTGAATGGAAATGTTTCTGATTCACTCATGCAAATTCATCTTCAGAAAGTGTCTTTATAGCAATGTGCGTGCGGTAGATTGCTCAGATTACTGAGATTACTCAGATAACTGTATGGTATGGAAACCTTACATACCTACTAGATGAACCCGTCTCATACAGCTGCCATTGCAAGGCTCAGACACTTTGTAGAGAGGAATTTAACACAACTGCCTCTAGGAGTCGCCAATGGAAATAAAACAGACACGCACAAAAAATGTGCGTACGGCAGCCAGAAAGCTGCCGTGAAGCTGCGCACATTCCCACGTTCAGTTCATTGTTAGTAAATCCAAACGTGAGCGTGAAACCTGGCGTACGCAAAGTTTTTGTGCGTACGCAGCGTTGATACATGAGGCCCCTGATCTTCTACTCCCCTTACATGCTCTATCGACCAGGCGGGAGCCCTGGGCTCAATTATCTCTGAGCTCAGGGTTCTCTCCCGGGACAGCATGCCAAGCCTGCTAACATTTGTCAAACATTATCTAAGTGTGAACTCTTAAAATGTTTCAAATAACATTTGCAAATGTAGAATGTGGGTGAAATAATGTTTCAAATTGCCTTCAAAAAACACAGGCAGGTGATAGAGTGTGCAATGTTTCAAATTGCTAAATTGTCTGGATTTTAAAATGACATCTTTAAACACAAGTAAAGTTTAAGAGAGGCCATTATGGGTATTCTCCACACTAAACACCATTATGATAAAGAAATTTAGACTGGCAAATAAGAGACAAGCATCAAAACAATTATTTTTTGCATCCAGTTGTGTTCTCATTTAGTCTGCAAATACGTAAATACGTTTTGATCTACTTCAACTACTGTAGAATTATTGAGTACTGACATTAGGTACAGTTGCCTTGAACTGTGCCAAAGCCCGATTGTCCTCCATCCCCTCAGCCTGCACTGACATTGCATTTTTACCTACCGGACCTAAGCATGCTTACATCATCGATGATGCGACTGTTTAGTTTAACAGGAAAAGAAGCGCTTTCACTCAGCATGGTGGAGATTGCTTTAGTTATATCGTTTTTAATTATTTTTAGTCGTTTGGGATGTAGTGACACACAGTCAAACACTTTTCCGAACAGATCAGCGACTTTTACATCATAAATTATTATAAAAGTCAAGGACTTTTATGATAGGTACAGTATTAGGAGGTTTGCTGAGGGTGTAGCTGACGTGCAGTGAGGGGTTTGCATTCATTGAAAATGAAGAATGATCAATAAATCATTATGAAATAGTCCCCTAAAAGTGCTCTGGCACACCTCTTCTAACTGGGCCAGGACTGGCCAACTAACCCGCGCCTGAGCCCAATTCAGAGCACACAAACCTGGGCACGGTTCTGATAGCATAGTGTGAGTGCGCCCTTACACTACAAATAATGCATTATTAAAAAATACATTATTCTATTCTTTTTGGCAAAACATCTTTCATTGTAAAAAAAATCACTGTCATCCAGTAACAGTAGAACCGGGACACAGAGATTAAGTAGATGTAAATAGGAGAGAAACATTAGTGTCTGGTAAGTCAGCTCTGGTGCAGTCTGCTTATATTCTCTCCCTCTCATTGGTTGCAGGTGTTTGTGATTAGTGTTGATGGGGTGAGTCTTGGTGGTATGGCTTTCTGGCGACATCGTAGAGGAGTACTCACCACAATAAAGCTGCGGTCACACTGGACTTTTCTCCCCATAGACTTCCATTCATACGCACGTGAATGCGTCAGACCGGAAAGCAAGTTTCGCTGCACTGCAAAGTTCAAGCTTGTCAAATATCTCTCATATGGCGTCCTTGATAGTTCATACTGTATGATTGTCACTCACGTGAACGAGCACTAATTTGCTTGTGATTTCAATAACAAGTCTGCGATTTCACAAAACCTATCGGTGAGTCAAAATAACTAAACTAAATAACTAAATAACTAAAATCATGCAGTCTGAACTCGGCATTAATGCTGGTTGCTGACCGCTATTAAACAACAAACAAGAAGAAGATCGTGCTAAATGGGGTGATTGTTGAAGGGAGAACTTGGCATGACTGTGAAAGTAACACATTTATGGTGGAAAACATTGTTTAACCCCTTAAAATAAACTATTTTTCTCCAGTAATATGTTATAAAATGTGTTGTGATGGGATCCTCATCACAACACAACAGTATATAAAGACAGAAGCTGATGAAATACAAACATTTCTTGTATCTTGTATTTTTGAACAAACTCATTAAACATTCACATTGTTGGAGAAAAATGTAAGAGAACCCATATATTAATTACTTGCTTAAATGCTTGTGTTACAGCTTGAATAACTTAAGACATTCATAACTCCATAGTCAGATAAAAGAAAAAAGAAATACCATAGTTACTTTTAAGAAGTGGACACCCAGCCAAGATGACTCCCAAAGCGCAATGAAGAATCCTCAGTGGTCAAGAATAAACCATGAGTAAGAGCTAAAGGATTGAAGACATCATTGGAAGATACAAACATCTGTTTATGAGTCTATTATAAGCAAGTATTTGGCTGCACAATATAAAGTAAGCAGCTGCTTTCCCGAAAAGCATTGCTGCACATCTGAAGTTTGTCAAAACACATATGCAAACCCCAGTGCTACTTGGAAACCATGTTATAGACTAAGGAAACAAAACTTGAAATGTTTGAGAAAAATAACATTGTAACCAATCCCAACCTGTAACAATGAGTGTATTGTTAGAGAATTTCAAGAGTTCGCCCTTAGCTGATGATTGATTATAAAGCTTGTTTGTCATGCTGTGCCGGGAGAGAGCCCTGAACTCGTGAGAAAGGGAATTCCGAGTTCAGGTAGGTCTCGAGTACTCCCCTGCTTGATAATGTTGGAAGTAGAATAAAATGCTATGGAATGTCTATGCTGTCAATTTAGATATGTTACATGTTTTTGGTCTGTGGGAGGAAACCGGAGAGCCCGGTGAAAACCCCCGCAAACACGAGGAGAACATGTGAACTCCACACAGAAACGCCGACCTGGCTGGGTAGAGTCCGGGCCGGTGGCATTCTTGCTGTGCGACCGTGGTG